CATAGTACCGAAATTACACACTTACATTATTTGGTGGGAAACGTCACCTGTCTAAACAAAAGGAGAAATGTGGTATGACGTTCATAGTAAAGATAACGTCTGAGAAAATTTATGCTTCTGCGACAGATTCTGCATAGTATGACTTCCCTTCCCCACACAGTGGTCTTGAAGGCCTCAAACAATCTCAGAGATCCAGTTAATTCATACTAATCTATACGACTCAGATAGACAATCACTGAATTCATGACATCCACTCACTTTATTTTATTACTTCAATGTTGCAGTGTTCAAAATCTGAGAGATGTTTATAGATAAGACATTGCTGTTATTGTTGCTGTCTGGATTAAAAAAGATATTTGAAGTCACACAGTGAATTTCATTCACTAAATGCCTATGCATTCACGTTCTATCTATTTCACATCTTCGAAATAACAAGAGTTGTCATCTGATTTGAGTGAAGCAGAACATTCCTGCTAACATGCAGAACACAGAATCGTATATTTGCGTTACTTCTGTTGTCATCCACGAATATTTATTCTAATGAATACACTGCTCGTGATTGTCAAAATGAGTGTATGTTAATGAGATTGTACAGCAATGGGAACAAAGTCATTGTAAAGAGAGTGTTCATTGAACTAGTTAGTCTTCTCCCTCCAACTAAGACTATTACTTAGAATTTATTCAGTTGAACAGATTAACACTTACATATTACTATTATTATTATTACTGGTTACTATTCCCAAAAGCTGTCAGTTGAACACTGGGATTCAGTAGCAGATCTTCACTTCACTTCACTTTTCCTTCTTCGCTATCCCAATTAAGCTAATCCCGCGATTATCTACAAGCTTCTGTTTTCTCCCAACACGATGTACACAATCTCTTACTCGGACACACACGATTCAGGTAGCACTGGAGGGTGTGACTGGAACGTGATGTCAGTAAATGGTCTGTTCTGGGTATCTTCAAATCATCTTCACTTCTTTCTGCATACTTGTGTGGTGATAGGTTCTTTGTTGATTTGTTTCCAAAGTCGCTTGTTGGTAATCCTTTCTGGCTGGTGGCCACCTGATCTTGAGTATGGCGTGGCGTCAGCTGTTGTTAGAAGTCAGCAGCAGGCTGTTGGAAGTGCGTTTTGTTGACACGTGTGCCAAGTCTTTGATTCATCGATTTTATCTGAGATCTCAAATAAAGTCGGTAGATCTCACTCATTTCATAAAGCCCACATCACTTACTTCTGTTCTGAGTTTTCTTTTGAGTTGTTCTACTGACTGAATATGAGATATCCTTTTTTTAAACAGAAGGTGTTTAACAGGTAAAAATAATCTTACGTGAATAAAGTGCTCTTAGGTTTCTTAATTTTCGTGTCTTCATTTATTCACTATATTGTGATATGAAGATTTTTTCTAATATTGAACATAATTTTCAGTTTTTAGCTTTGAAAAGTTATTATCTATGCTTTACAAGTTGATCACGGACTGATATCAGTTAGAGAACCATTGAAAACCAGGGAGTACTGGACAGCTGCTGTTTCATCCTAGTTTGGGAATCATCGGCAGTACTCACCCACCGGCCAGGGTTCAAACCCAGGACCTTCCGGTTACAAGGCAAGCTCGTATACCATTCAGTCACTGGGACCCGATTCAATGGCTCATGAATTCTAACTTCTACCAATTCGTGATTTTAGCGCCACCCCAACTATTGTCGTTGATGGAAATCCATCCACACGTGACTTCCCAGTGGGTGCGTACTGCCGATGATTCCCGAACTAGGATGAAACAGCAGCTGTCCAGTACTCCCTGGTTTTCAATGGTTCTCTAACTGATATCAGTCCGTGATCAACTCGTAAAACATAACTAATCCTTACAAACCAAACTATAGAAAAAAAATATTATCTATGCATGTATTTGGAAAATGTAATGGTAGTGCATGAAGTCAACAGCTTGAAAACGGGAAACGATCACTACCATCAATCTTGTGTACTTCACTGGACGTGAATTCTCGTCTGAAGCGTTTTAAAAGCTGTGTCTAGTAGGTCTCAGAGTAGGCTGTTTAATTTCACTTTAAATGTAGGCTGCAGCCTTCAAAGTACCAGGAATCATTGCTTGGAAGATCTCATTTAGACAGTTCAAAATATAGTACAATGATACAGATTGCTATTTTAAACAATGTACCTCCTCCTTCTCATTTGAATAATATCTATTCATCAATATTTTTGACTGTGTAGTGCATATTCACACACTGAACTCCCTACGATAAAGACAATATACCATTTTTACCATTCATTCAATTTTGTCATTTTGTGTACTTTATATTATGCACTCTCTTCTGGATAAGTGTTTTTTTCTTTTCATTTTAAGCAAGTCTCATGTTTCATCCTTACTAAGAATGCATAGGGATCGATTACTATGAACTCTTTTCTTAACAGTCTTAACCTGTTTCGAATTTCACATTATTAATTTTGATTATAAAGCTATTGGGATAGAATACTGACATATACATACATCTCTCATTCCTTTATGAATGAACGTTGACCCGTAAGAGAAGTGGAACTGAAATATGATAACTAGATAGATGTCTCCTTCAAACTTATCTAAAATTATGGCGTCATACCATAAATACTTCTACTATTTACATTTGCGGTTAGATGTATTCATCAACCATATGAATCAACTGACATATCTAACCTAATGAAATACATCGTATATGAATGAAACTGTATATTATTATATTATTATTTCCTTTAATTCTTAGAGGAACATAGGGCTTCAGCAGTGCGTCTCCATTGCGTCCGGTTGCGTTCGATTCTCTGCTAGAGTCTTTAGCTGGCTCCAAGTCTGCCAATACGCCTTCATCTCCTCTTCAAATGACCTCCTCCAAGTCACCCTTGCACTGACGACCAACTCGCCGCTTCCCTTTCGGGTTCCACTCGAGCAATGGCTTGTCTAGTGATGTCACTTGATGGTTTCCTCAGAGTATGACCAGCCAATCCATCTCCATTTCTTCCTGCCTATTTGTTTCACAATCGGTTCCTGGTTGATTCGCTCATTGTCAGAGATCTCTGTTGCTGATCTTTTCTGGCCGGCCATCTGATCTTGAGTATTGAGCGAAGACAACTGTTAATGAAGGTCTGTAGTTTGTTTGAGATGCTCTTTATGACGCGCTGGCCAAGTCTCTGATCCGTATAGTAGCACTGACTGACTTCATATCGGAGTTGAAAATCCGGATCTTATTTTTGATGCTGAGTGCTGTTGACCTCCACACAGGCTTGAGAGTAGTGAAAGCTTGTCTTGCTTTTCCAATTTTTGCTTTGATATCCTCGTCAGTTCCGTCCACCTGTAGTTGAAACGATACTTCCCAGGTAGGTTAGTGAAGGAGGTTGTTTCTTTCAGTTTCCTTCCATTTATGCTGATTATTTTCTGTTGTTGTTGTTGTTGCTGTTGATGGTGTTTCCCAGGAATCTTCATCACCTCTGTTTTCTCTATGTTCACATGAAGTCCTTGAATGAAACTGTACCTTGAGGTAAATTAGAAGCTGACCTCATTTGTACTTTTACAAAAAGGCCAATTTTTTTGATGATTTGGGAATAATCACGTGACTGTAGCATTATTTCCATCAAGTGATTAATTTATTTTCTTCCCATCCACATAAAAAGAACAACTGATAATCTAATTAGAGTTGGGAAAATTATTTTTTTAAATAAAATATCTTTATACAATGCGAAACATTGACTGTTGATGAATTTTGACGAAGATATCACTGTGAAAGGATAACTACAGAATATTTCATCTCCGTTTGGTGTCAGAAATTCCCTCAGCTAGTGTATAGAATGTATTCACAGGTCCTAATGAAAATAAGAGAAGATAAGGCAAAATTAAAGTCAGATGTGAAAGTTAAATGAGTACTTCCATCATAGAATAAATTTATTGAATAAAAGAACTCGGTCATACACTATTATTTAGTGAGTACGCTTCGAATACAATTTATTTCTGAGAATCATATCAAAGCATTTATACTTTTTATCGGTTGATATTTGTGGGAGTAATATTTTTCTTATCTCTGGTAATTGCGTGTCGTTATTCTCATCGTACTTGTTAGGTGTAGATTCAAAGAATAATGACTATGAGGTTAACTTCATAGGTCAGCCGAGCAGATATGGTTGTAGTCAGATTATTGGAATATAAGGATTTAGTTAAATGTGAAAGGAGAGGTTGATCACTTAATTTTCGTTCATCTCATCGACGCCTAGCACGTGAAATAGGAGTGATGCAAAGCTAGCATCAGAAATATAGATAATATTACTACTAAAAGTATCAAGGGAAAAGAAATAATGGAATTATAAAAGTGAAGTCTGAAACTTATGTGAATGCCTTGATACGAATCTGAGCAATAAATTTTACTCGAAACATAATCACCTACTAAAACTGAGGTACTGTGTTCTTTTATCAAATAAATTGATCTGATGATGGAGTTGTACTCTACCACGGTACCCAAGTTTCATTCTTATATCGAATGAGCCCTGTTTCTTAGGCATTACAGCCAGGAAATTCAAGGGAATGACGGACGTAGAATCCGGTATTCAGATTCAAATGTAACTGGAGTTTGTCTATGATTTAGGACAAGATTAAAGGTAAATTCATTAGCATTACTGACAATCATTTCGAAGTTTATAATCCACTAAGTAAAAGTAGTGATCAATGGTATTTTTTTAAAGATTTTTGAGGGACTAACTGAAATTTTAATGGGTATATCATGCGTGAGACTAATGACCTCTTGGATATTTGTTGAAATGACTTTTATGCACCTTCTGACACGTCAACCATAATTGGAAATCTGTACTCATTGACAGATTTCGAGACATAAAATTCATTATTTATTTTAACATTAGTCTAACCAGAAGTTCAGGTTTCATATTTCACCTTTGTGCTTCTGGATTTTCATGGGTTATTGCTTACACATTTTAGCATATGTCATATTGTTATTATTATTATTACCTTATTCAGAGCAATAGAAGATGCTGTAGAGAAGTTATCTCACAAACACATTGAGCATATTCAATCCTATGATCCTAAACATGGTTTGGACAATCAACGACGTCTAACTGGTAATCATGAAACAAGCAGTATGAATGACTTTTCATCTGGTATGTTAGTATTTGTAATTAAGACAATATTGAAGCTTTCACTTTATGAATATGATTTCTTGTAATCTAATTTTTTACAGAATAATCCTAATCAGGTTCTGCAGAAATATATATATATATAATAGTGAATGAATTTGTGTTATTAACAACAATGACGCTGTTTAATTAACATCGAATCAATATTAATATCAACGTATTCCAGTTCGATAGCATCAAAATAACACTATATGCTGAATATCAGAGAAATTAGGAAAGATAATAATACAAATTCATGAACTCATAGTCTCCAGGGCAGTAATAATGGTTGGACTTGCTTCTTCTGCATACAAAGCACTGTTTGTTTCACGCGAATCACGACAGCTTCATCTGTTTGGAGTATGCAGTACCTGGATATTTTTGGCAATTTATTTAGTACCCGGTAAATGATAGAGAAGAACTCTCCAATGTCGCCTTTGTGACCGGTTTAGACCAGGTGGTCTAAAATCGAATCCTTCTCTATCATTTACCGGGTACCAAACAAACTGCCAAAAATATCAAGGTACCGCATTCTCCAAACAGCTGAAGCTGTCGCTATTTGCGTGAAACAAACAGTGCTTTGTGTGCAGAAGAAGCAGGTCCAGCTAGTACTACTGCCCTAGCGGGCCTTCAGTGAACACTATAAATTGTCGAATTTGTTCTATTATCTCTCCTAATATTTGTGATATTCGGTGTATTGTTACGTTGATACTACCGACCTGTAATCCATTGATACTAATATTGATTCGATGTTATTTAAACAACATCATTGTTTCTGATAATACCAATTATGTGTGTATAGCTGTAGAACCTGATGAAGAAGGGGTTATAGAAAAGAATATTCTTTGTTCAGTTAACCATACTTTTGAGAACAATCGCTATCAACACTTTTCTCCTGTAAGAATATCTTTTCATTAAAAAAACAACAAGTTGACTAAAGTAATGTATTTTCCTTTTCAATTCATCTTCCACGACAAGCTCTCAAATAATACAAGCATTTTATAGACAAAATATCAAATTTATGCCAATGAAAATTATAGTATGTCAGTGAGTTGATAGAAAAACCATCAAATGAAGATCATAATTATAAGATAAAATTACCTAACATCATTCTTAACTTGTAGGATGATGATAATTTAGAAAAGTTGATGAATTTGTCAGTTGTTCATTTATTATATGACAGAATTTTAGTGCAAAAAGAAGAGTTATGTATTATTTGTTTTTAATTTAGTTTCCTCCTTTCCATTGATTGATTTGACTGAAATGTTCGGCCTCTGTTGAAATTTCGGTCCCTATCAGTCTCCAGGTCAAGTCAGTCCTTCTATACGGATCAGAAACTTGGCGAGTCACAAAGAATATTTCCAACAGCCTGTTACAGACCTTTATCAACAACTGTCTTCGTTCTATACTGAAGATCAGATGGCCGGAAAGAATCACTAACAAGAAACTATGGGAACGAACAAAACAAGAACCAATCGCCCAAAAAATATGCAGGAGAAAGTGGAGATGGATTGGACACTCGCTGAGGAGGCCGCTGGGTGACATCACGCGTCAGGCCAGTGCTCGAGTGGAATCCGAAAGGAAAGCGGCGAGAGGGACGTCCAAGGATGACATGGAGGAGATCGTATGAAGAGGACCTGAAACAGTATGGACTAATATGGATGCAAGTGAAAAGTACAACAGAAGACAGAAGCAAGTGGAGACGTGCAGTTGAAGCCCTATGTTCCACTAGGAATCCAAGGAAACAATAATAATAGTAATCATAATCAGTCTCCAGGAAAGTCAAAATTGAATTAAAAACAAATAATGAACTGATACATGTTCCAGTCAAGAAAACTAAGCTTTGGCATTTGAAACGATGGGTACTAGGTTCGAATCCGGGTAGGAACACCATCACTCACTAGGAGTGCAGATACATTCAGGCGACGAGTACGAAACAGGACGAAATAAACATCTCCCCATTGCTAGTCACCATCCATCAGAGTTGCTTCACTAGTCAAGTATATTAGCTTAAATATCGTCAGTAATAATAAAAAAGAAGTATTGAGTTAGTAAGGTGGATAGGGTGTATCAGTGGTTCCAAGGTAGAAAGCTCGCCAATCACACAGCACCTGGTCCGAGGTTCGATCCTCCCAAAACTTGCTAAGCCGGTAATAAGCTCGGTAAAGAGGGAAAGGTTGGCCATGAGGCTAGCAACCTCACTCCGTATAAATAAAACCACTGCTATCGAAACTCTTGAGCTCTAGCTTTAAGCTTTATGTTCCACTCAGAACTTAAGGGAACAAAATAAAATAATAATAAGGTAGACAGAGGAAAGAGGTTAGTTTTACCGTTGCGTCTATTTTATAAAGATGACTAGGGCAAACAAAATACTCTTTTGATTTTAACACCAGGGTAATTAACAAGACGAGATATAAGTTCCTTATTTAGTGTATAATTTAAAATTTATCACCTTAGATTGCTTTCAACATTTTTCAAGTGTGAAGGGTAATAATGTAACACTACTCTAAGTTTGGCAAATTGAGAACAAATATGGAAGTCTTCCAACATTAAGCCAGAATGTGATGACTGGCAACCGCATCTCATCCTTTGCTCAGGAAACATTCGTCACAATTTCACATAAGTAAATACGCTCGAAGAAGGTGTTAGTTAAATTTTCAAAAAAAAAACAACAGCGTTCAAGTACGTGTTACAGAGGATGTATTTTGAAGAGTTCGCCAATGAACGTAGCCATAGACCTGTACACTTTTTGATGTAACAGTAGAATTTAGGCACTACGGAAGGATGTAATTCCCTGTTAGGTAAATTTATTAGATATAACACACAGTGATACACTATTAATCCGGTTATTAGTCCTGTATCATTGTTTTTTATGTGAAATAAACTTATCTGTTATCGAATGCACCTTTTCGTTTAGCATTCATATTTCATGGAACCATTTTGTAATCAAATTCTTAATACGCGTCGCTTCTTTTTGTTTCAAACACATCCATCTATAGGTGTCGCAAACAGAGGTAGCAGTGTACGTATTCCAAGACAAGTTGCTGAAAATGGTTATGGTTATTTAGAAGACAGACGTCCATCGTCCAACTGCGATCCATACATTGTCACTAGAATGTTGGTTGAAACCACATGTCTTTAATAATAATTATTACCAACCCGAAAGAAACACATTTTATCAATCCTTATGTGTGTGTGAGTTTGTCTTACCTTCATAGACTCATTTTGTCCAGTGTGTCAAAGACTACTGACAGTCATCAATTCAGCCGTCATCAAGAATCCCATTCATCCTCCCTTTCATTCCTGTCCATCATCATCATAACCTGCAGCAATAATATAATTTAAATATTTTTAATAATAATAATACTTTCCTTCTTCTCTTCTTCGTATACACATATAATGTAGTTCACTTAGTAATTGTTTCAAAAATGTAATTGTATTCACCGTTTAAAACAACAAAAAAAAAGAACACAAACTGAAACATTGAATGTCAGCTGACCATTTAAAATCAATAATCATTAATGCACATAATTTAATTTACTGTTCGTCATTTGAAATGACCACTGGTGGTTTTCATGTTCAATGAAGTAATAATACATTTTATAGAATGTGGCGTGTGGCTATCAAAATTAAGATTATTCTATTAGTCATGTTATGTCATGTCATGTCATACTATTATTTAATTTTCTTTTTATATATATGTATCATCATTGAAAAGTTAAACCAGAAATCGTGACAATAATGCAAGACAGAATTTCACACATCCTGGATATTAATAATAATAATAATGATAATGATTTTGAAATTATTTTGTTCTCACTTACATTGAGTTATACTATTCATCGATTTTATTAGGCAGTCAACTAGTCGTGTTTTCCCCTTCATGAGTTCAGCAGAACGGTGTGGTTTAATTATATAACACAGAATTTGTATCTTGTAAATAGTATTGACTGAATTCACTTTGAAATACAGTGTCAGAAAGCCTGAAAATATGAAATACCTTAGTGTTAACGAGTAGTTTAAGGAGTTACACACAATATTTGAACACAACAAACAGTACTGTGTTTCCAGATCTATAAACTACTTAATTGGCCAAATTATTGTATTATTATTATTGTTTCCTTCAATTCCTAGAGGAACATAGGGCTTCAGCCGTGCGTCTCCATTGCGTTCGGTTCTCTGCTAGAGTCTTCACCTGGCTCCAAGTCTGCCCACACGTTTTCATCCCCTCTTCACATGACCTTCTCCAAGTCACCCTTGCACTGACGACCAACTCGCCGCTTCTCTTTCGGGTTCCACTCGAGCGATGGCTTGTCTAGTGATGTCACTTGATGGATTGTTTCCTCAGAGTATGGCCAGCCAATCCATCTCCATTTCTTCCTGTCTATTTGTTTCACAATCGGTTCCTGCTGTGTTGGTTCGCTTCCAGAGATCTCTGTTGCTGATTTTCTCTGGCTGGCCATCTGATCTTGAGTATTGAGCGAAGACAACTGTTAATGAAGGTCTGTAGTTTGTTTGAGATACTATTTATGACGCACCATGTCTCTGATCCGCATAGTGAGTAGCACTGACTTCACATTGGAGTTGAAAATCCGGATCTTGATGATTTTTGATGCTGAGTGCTGTTGACCTCCACACAGACTTGAGAGTAGTGAAAGCTTGTCTTGCTTTTCCGATTCTTGCTTTGATATCCTCGTCAGTTCCACCACCTGCAGTTGAAACGATGCTTCCAGGTCGGTAGGTAATGGAGGTTGTTTCCTTCAGGTTCCTTCCATTTATGCTGATTGTTGTTTGTTGTTGCTGTTGTTGTTGTTGGTGTTGCCCAGGAATCTTCATCACCTCTGGCCGAATAGGCTATGAGAAAGAGTCTAACATTCCAGTGATGTAGAGGTGATGATATCGAGAAAAATCAGCACTCATTAACCTATTAGAGCTTAAACAGTGATATCCTAAAGTTACTTTAGTATTGTATAAGAAATATAAAGTACTCATTTTGGTAGCATAGGTTTATGGTGATAGATTTACAAATGGAATAGAAGGGAACAATTTTGATAGTTTAGAAAATGATTCTGCATTTTAACTGAATAAAAATTCCCATTAAAATTTTCAAAAGAATAGACACGGAACAAAGAGTACTCTTTTCGATAAATTCATCATCAGGTTCTACAATTATATATACATTGTAATGAATTTTAGATTTTCCCGTCGTTTCATTGGATTGAAGTGCTCGGTCTCAGGTTGACATGTCGGCTTCTTGCGCAGATGCTTCAACGATATCTTGGCATGTAATTAGAAGTTAATTGGTGAATGGTGACTAGCAGATGAATCCAGGATACGTATTTCGTCATATGGATGTACCTGCGTTCCCCAGTCACTGAGTGATCAAGTTCCTACCGAGGTTTGAATCCACTGCCCATAGTTTCAAACGCCAAAGTGTTATCCACTAGACCACGAGAGCCAACTCTTGTGGGAACATCATCGCTTACTGATTGGAGAATGCAGGTGCATGCAGATGACGAGTCCCAAATAAGACTAAATGTACATCCTGGATTCCACTGCTAGTGGCCATCCACCAATAAATGATTCTCCAGTTTGCAAAACCAGTATTAGTTACTGGCTAATTGTAACTCACTGCAATTATGACCTAAGTCACGCGAATTATTTGTTTCATTTAACGCTTTTCACCATTAGACAGTGTTTACTTGAATACATCGCTCTCTAATGAAGACTATTACTTGCTTTAGTTGACTCTTAGTGTTTCGTGCTTCGCACTCTTGCTATCGGATGCATGTAATGCCTATTGACTCATAACTGATATAGCTATCAATCAGCTGCACAACATGGTCAATTGGCTGATCGATGTAACACTGCTATGGACTGTAGTTCAAAGCTGTTTAATTTTAAATATTACCAGAAAATACTGTTAAGTGATGAATTTCAAAATAAACTGTTTTTCAGATATTATGCAATATAATTTCAATGATTTTGGACGCAGTATGTGGTTCTTAATGTTTTTACCACAGAACACTTCTTCGGTGATTCACTAACAGAATACTTACCAACTACGCACAGTGTCTTGGCTTCAATACCCGGCTAACGAACTCCTAAACTTCGCTTAGTCTGTAGTAAGCTGGGTAAAAATGGAAGGTTGCGTGTAAGGCTGGAAACCTCACCTCGTAGAAAAAAACATCAGTGCTACTGACACTTCTAAACTTGAAGGTTTATGCTCCACTCGAAGAGCAAAGGAATAAAATAATAAATGCGGCAAAATATTTACTCCTTGGAGAAAAGTTTCAGGTGGAGTTTTCTAAAGATTAGAAACTTGTCGCGGAATGTACTACTGTTTGGCTTGAAATATGTTGTAATAGCCCAGGCGATTTTAGCTTTATTTTCTGCACAAAAGATGGATCAGTGGGATAAAAACTATTTTGTTTTAAAAAGAATGTGCGTGGGTACAAAATACAATTTAAAGGCGTAGCTGCTGATTGATTTAAACAACGCAAAAGGCATTGAAAATGATGTATTATGTAGGCTGGAGAATTCTGTTGCCTAATAATTCTAGTAAGCTGTGTTATACCCAACAGGTTTTAAAGTTACCTATAATTAGTGACAGGTTCTAAAAATTGCAGTCCACTACGACTTTCTTTATCTTCTTTTTTTCTACATCAACTGTAAAAGAATAAATAAATGCTAAAGCTGAATTTCGGTTAATAATTTATGAGTTTAAGCATTAAAATAAGAGTGGAATTTAGGCAATATGGTAGAATGTAATTCCATGTTCGATAGGTTTATCTGATATAAAGCACAGTGATACAGTATTCCTTTGAGCAGTAAATTATTCTTGAAACGCTGTCAGAAAATAATACTGCATCATTGGTTCTTCAATTATCAATAATTGCGTGACGTTTCCAGCATGATTTATTGTTCATAACCATATCAATGTGATAGGATTGTGAATGGAATATTGAATCCATCACAAAAGTAGGCGAACACCCAATGTGTCTGAGTGTGCAAATATTACGATGGAACTTCAAGCGAATATTAAGAAGACAGAGGTGATGAAAATACTCAAACAACAAAATCAAACAGCAGTCACCATCAACGGGAGGAATCTAAAAGAAGTTGTATATTTCACTTATCTAAACAATATCATTCCAACTACAGGATTTCAAATGTAGGACAATAAAAGCAAGACAGACTTCCACCAACTTAAAATTAATCTAGAGATCTGTTTCATGCCACATGATAGAGAGCATCTAGATCTCCAAGACTAGTGTCAAATCAATGCTCCTACACTCATCAGAGATTTGGCGCGCACGTCACGAAAAGCATTTCTGACATCTTGCTGGTGACTTCTAACAACATCTGCCTGTGCTACATACTCAAGATCAGGTGGCCAACAGCCAGAAAGGATTAACAACAAGCGACTTTGGAAACAAATCAACAAGTCAATACACAGAAACAAGTGGAGATGATTTGAAGATACTCTGAAGAGACAGTTGATTAACATCATGTGATTGGAACGTCCTCCAGTGCTACCTGAATCGTGTACGTCCGAGGATGAGATTGTGTACATTGTGTTAGGAGGAAAAAGAAGCTTGTAGGCAGTCGCGACGATAGCTTAATTAAGATTGCAGAGAACAACCGGTGAAGTGGAGATCTGCTACTGAAGCTCTGTATTCAACTGATAACTAAAGGGAATAATAATAAATAATAGTAATAACAGTAATACATAAGTGTTAATCTGCTCAACTGAATAAATTTTAAGTAATAGTCTTAGTTGAAGGGAGAAGACTAACTAGTTCAATGAACACTCTCTTTACAGTGACTTTGTTCCCATTGCTGTACAACGGCATTTACATACACTCATTTTGACAATCACGAGCAGTGTATTCATCAGAATAAATATTCGTGGATGACAACAGAAGTAACGCAGATATACGATTCTGTGTTCTGCATGTTAGCAGGAATGTTTCTGTTTCACTCAAATCAGATGACAACTCTTGTTATTTCGAAGATGTGAAATACATAGAACGTGAATGAATAGTCATTTTGTGAATGAAATTCACTGTGTGACTTCAAATATCTTTTTTAATCCAGACAGCAACGACAACAGCAACGTCTTATATACATACATCTCTCAGATTTTGAACACTGCAACATTGAAGTAATAAAATAAACTGATTGTCAGTTTGAGTCGTATAGATTAGTATGAATTAACTGGATCTCTGAGATTGTTTGAGGCCTTCAAGACCACTGTGTGGGGAAATGAG